CATTTTACCCACCTCAGAAGGATGGAAGGCTGAGTCAACCCTGAGCCGGTGAGATTTGAACCGCTGAACTGCTGATCTAGCAGTAGCTTGCAGTGCTGCATTTAACCACTGCGCCACAGGCATTCAAAAATAAACAATTTTTTTTACAAGCAGGATTACTAATAGGCCAATGAAGCAGACAACAGACATTTGCAAGTTAGCACAGCTGAAATTAGGGTGGAAAATGCAGTTTCTTTGCTTGTGTACTCATGTTCCTTAATCATCCAATGTAGCAAGGTAAAGAATGATTCGTGGATCACATCAAATAGGCACTAAGGCATCTGTGAAGGTCACGTATGTTATGAGTCTATAGGACTGGTTTTTGGGGTGTCCAAAAATCACAGCATTAGAGGAAGCGGTGTTAAGTCTTTTGTCCTTGCTTGATTCTCTGGGAGAGCATAAGGGGAAGCAGCTGGTTAAGGAAAGAATTTATTTAAGAAACCCTGAGGGAGCTTCCTGACATACTGCTCTCCATAAGTACAAGAGTTTACTCAGTGAATTCAACAGTACTTGCCTCTGTAGAATAACATTTCAGAAGGTTTCAGCTGAAGAAAGACACACTATTTAGAGACACCACCATGGAGCTGTCTCATTTTTTGTAGCAACCAGAAAATATCATAGATCATTTCTCCTTTAAAAAAAATCTTATAGTACAATATATATAACACCCCCATTCCCCCCCCCAATACAACAGGCTAGTTAATTCTGACAATGGGTTGAAACCAACAGTCAAGAAGCAGCTTTTCTATATAATCAAATGCTCTCTTTGCAAATGTTTATAACATGATGCATTCCAAGTAAGATGTGTAGATAGGCAGAGTCCAATCAAGCCAAGGACATATGCATCTTCTCAAATCCTAGGACCGCTAATGTGTGAGGAAAAACAGAGATTCTCAAAGGGTGGATTATGAACCTCTGGAATGGGGGGAAGCGGGCAGAGGGGGGTTTACAGCATTTTTAGTTGATCATACTTGCCTAGACAAAGCAGGCAGGAGGGCTGTCAATGCTAATTTATGATTTGCCTGAGAGAACAGCCCAGGACAGCTAAACATGTGGATCTACCCAACCGTCAGCAGCATTTGCCAATCAAAGCAACCTTGTGATTGATGCCAGCTGACAAATTCTTGCCAAGTGGTGACTTCCCACATGGCATGTAATAGGATATCTGTAATCTGGGTGTGACTATAGAAGTAAATTTCAATTTTTTTACCCATTGTGTTCAATTTCTAGACTTTCAAAGTGGAAATTTTTGATGGGTGGGAAGATAAGCGTTTAAAATGATCACTATAACCACAGTGCTCATCCGATTAAGATTTAAGTCAAACATTTATGATAATCATGACATATCTTTTAGTAACTGGGGTATTTTTTCTTGCCCAACTCCTAAAAATGGATTTGTATTATTTATTTAGTTATTCAAATTCATTGATTATTTTAGGGAGGTTTAGAATCAGAACATTTGAGAATAACGGAGTAAAAACACATGTTACAGAAATGTTCTCTCTAAATTCAATGGAATTATGTTTTCTATATTAGGTATCAGTGGTGGGTTTCTATTTATTTTACTACTGGTTCACTTGTGCGCTCATATGATGCTTCTGCACACGTGGGTGGGCGGAGTCTCCCACCATCACCACTACTGGTTCGCCCGATCTGGGGCGAACCGGCAGAAACCCACCTCTGTTAGATATCTATTACACAAGAAGACCGGATGTTGAACACAATAAAGGGAATAACAAATTATTATATTAAACTACTAGCAGTAGTAGTTAGTAAGATACATGGAAAAGTGCTTCAATTTGTCTGGATTGAACCCACAGCCAATACTAACCAAATGCAAGGCATAAGTATTTTGGTATTCTTTCCATCTCAGTATCGCTATTATTCAAATAACCTTACATTTCTCCTCCAAACACACAGATCAAAAACTAGAGGAAATGAAAAGGGAAAAAGATTTCCCCAGAATGAAAAAAAAAAAAAATCCATTCAAATCACAAAACATTCTCACGTGCAGTTTTTCTTTGGTATTCTTTAATGCCAAATGCATTCCAAAGTAATGAAAAGATCTTACTAGCATGAGTTGACTCTCCAACACCATCTGACTGTTTACATTAAAGATGGACAACTATTTAGTGCAAAAGTTTATAGACGCTCATCCTATAATATGTAGGCCTAAACTGTGGTTAAGAAATAATAATGTTGAAAAAAAAATGCCATTGAGTTACAATAAACTGCTTTGACTTTAGCATAATAAAACACTAATGGAAAATGCATTACAGTCGTTCACTTGGTAGACAATCCTTTGTGAGGCCTTTTGATACAATGACAGGAAGGCACTTGTCATGAAGCTTTCAGATAACTGAAGGGGAAAAAAAAGAATTTCCTCATATGCAACTATGGCTGTCTTCCAGATAAACTGAGAACAAATTACTCACATAAGGCAGTTAATTGTCCAAGTTTCTTTAGACCAAAGCAATAATAATAATAATAATAATAATAATAAAGTTTACATGAAGTTTACAAATGTTAACACTGTAGAACTATTGCAAAACCAAAATAAATAATTTCATTCATTGAATGTTTCAGAATTACCTGTACTATCTTAAATGTATCCAGTTATTTTTTTAAGACAAACATCTGTAGCGGAATGTCTTTGCTTGAGAAATATATATTTGGTTAAGGCGGGTTTTTTCCCATGTAAGAAAAGACCCGAAGAGTACGAGCGAATGGTTGCTTGCTAAATATTCTAAATCAGACACGGTAGGACAGATGCTTAAGATAAGAATACAATGCTGCATCTGGTATTTTTTTAGATATTGCAGAGAAGCAAACAAAGAAGTAATATGACTGTCCTGTTGTAGTTCCTTATGGTTTTAATCCATAGGAAATGAAAGAGAACTAAACACCTTATGACTACTTTTCATGTTTACGTATACTTTACAAGAGCTTGTAAGAACATTTGATCAAGTAGTTGGATCAGCAAGAATCGCAGCTCTGTATCTAACAACAACTCTGGATTGTTGATATTGGTATTTGATATCAATAGTTATTGATATTTTTTATCCTCTGCAGTAATTCACTGGCATAACATGAATATTCCTGGTTCACAAATAATATTAAGCCATTAGGTGGTTGGTTGGTTTTCTTTTAGTGACAGATATACATACTCAGCTCTAATAAGAAACAGTAGTTATAAGTCAGAAAGGGTAAATTTCACACCAAACTTAGGTAGAAACAAATGGCCACAAGATTTACTATTGCATTTAAACCAGGGATGCCAATGTCCTTACAGAAGGCAATTGCAAATCATTTGCATATTGTTGCCAAAGACTATACTATATAGGTGGCCATGAAGTCAAAGGAATTAAGCTCAACTCAAAGGACTTTTTACTTTTTATCCAAAAATGCTATTAACATTTGTCAATAATTTATTTCTTAGACTTGGTGTTTTAGAGCTTAAAAGCCAAAGCAAGGTTGCCTCACATCCTTAAAATTCTCTATAGATTAGGCAGATAAAGATAAACAAATTGTATAAAACGATAGCATTCAACAATAACCCAGTAAGGAAATTCAAATAGGAAGTTTCTTTGGTATTTTATACTTGGCACAAAAATGACTCCAAGTTTTGGCCTGAAATCCAGGTATCTAAACAAACATTTGAGGATTAGTGATGAAAACAATTATGATGTGAATTCAAGGATGGGCTTAATGCTAATAATTTAGGATAATTTGAAGTGAAACTGAAAACTGATTCATATAATAAAAGTTTTTACTTAACTTTGAGGAGCTAGGTTAGCTGCAACTAGAAAAATTTTTTTGTCCTTATCTCTACTACTATCCAATTCAGCTGCTTTTCATCGTTTCTTTTATTTCACTTCTCTGAATCAAGCTTAGGAAAATATGGACAAAACGTTTCCATCATAACTCCTTGAATGTAGCTATGCTTTCTTATATTGCGTAGATACATATATTGCAAATGTACTTTTATCAGTCCTACTTTCCATGCCCATTTATACATTTGAACATTGGGACCAATCCTCAAGAAACCAAAATCACATTTTTAACTGACAATTACAATAGTTTTATTAGTTTTTATCAGTTCTTTAAGAACCTTATTGATGGAATGTGGATAAGTCTACGTATGCCTAAAAAAGTATGCAGTTCTAAACAATTTGTACCATGTGAGTTACGTAGACTGATCTACAGTTTTAATTTTGCAAGGGATGAAGAAAGGAAACTACAGCAATATATGTTGTTGGGCAGAAGAGTAAAAAAATATGTTGCGGCTTCTTCTGGCAACAAAAAATTTAGAGCAGGGCTGTCAAACTCGTGACTCACAGGCTGGATGCATCACACGTTGGCCATGCCCTGCCCAGTTTAGCGAAGTGGGGGGGGGGAAGTCCCGATACATCGCATGATGGTGCTGTGATGACGCAAAGTTTGACACCCCTGATTTAGAGAAATAATATCTAAATGCAGAATACACTAATCATCAATAGAATTTTTTTTTTGCAGTTTGGCAGGAAAAACCATATTGTACCACAAATGAAAAGAGGCTCTGAGAGTTTTGGATAATTTGATAGCTGCTAGAATAAATCAGTAAGTCCTACTCGCTTTAACCAATTAAATTACTATTCATCAAACATTTCTATGCTTAACCAATTAAGTTACTAGGATCTCACATTCCCTATGAATATAAATATGCCATCTTGTGATTTTTTACCATGAGTTGAACAATTGGCTAGATCTGCAAAAGTTCCACTGTTAAACCATAAAAGCAGTTTCCAAATCAAATTGAGATGATTGATTTAAGTTAAAACAAAACTTGTTATTTGTGTGGAAGGGACAGAACCTAAAATAAATCAGTTTCAAATCTGTACACCGTACAGCGAAATGCTGCATAGAACAGTGTGGAATAGAATGCACACTCTGGCTAAAGTTAAATATTTTAGCTTTAACATTCATTTCAGAGTTTCAAATACAGGTTCAGCTCTCTTCTGTGGATGTTGTTTGGTTTTAAAAAAATGCTTAATTGTTGACTGCATTGCATTTTGAGTTTACATACTTTCCAGTCCAATGAAAATATGGCTTTGTCCATCTAAAAATAGAGCAAAAATATGACAAAGCTACAACTAAAAAAATACTTTACATTCTCACTAGAAGCTGTTCCCACACCAGATGATTTTCATCCATTTTCCATTGCAGCAACTTCCTTGTTGCACTTTGATGGTTTTTTAATATTTTTTTTTAAAAAAACACCTGCGAATCTGTGCAGAGCGATGGTCATGCTTCTGTTTGAAAAAAAGAATAAACATAATGTTGCATACGTGGATCTGTTCCATTTCATTTAAGGGAGAGAGGTTCAATGCTTGAGTTTTGCAAGTTTTAAATTTTGTTTCTGGCTATGCATTGTGAAACCTACTTCATTTTTTTGGGGTTGAGTTGGCAATTATAAAATTCATCCAGCGTTCATAACATGCATTCATGTACACAACCATACTTTAGTTCAATAGAAATTTCTGGACCTTTTCCCCTCCAATTGTCATTTCTAGTCCATGTACACATCTTTAGACACTTCAGTAATCTACATCAGGCACTTGCAAGGTTACATTGAGAACTGCATGATCTTTGGACAAAAGGAAGAGAGTTTTCTTTGATGTTTACAATGAGAGGTGCTGAGTGGCTTACACAAAATTGTCAGCTGGATGCCAGTGCATTGTTCCTGGTGTTGAACTGGTGCTTTGAGATGGTCAGTTGAGGAAACAAAAGGCAGGCAGGACAAGAGAAGAATCTTAGAAGTCAGATACGGATGGATTCTGCAAAAGTTGTCTCATAAATCTCATCTTCTATGTCTGACTTCTGGCAGGGAGTCCAGAAAACTCTTTCCTGATAATTTCATTAACTGGGAAGGGAAAGAGAGAGGGAAAAAAGAAACACAAAAGCAGAAACGTTACTGTGCAGAAAACGCGAAAGAATCTAACATCAAACCACCTGTGTGGTTGCTGTTGAAAAGCTGGCATTCAATAATGGGTTAAGACTAGGACAATCTGGCAATGACAAGTCCCAATTGCTGGAGTGCAGCCATGAAGCCTGCTAGATGGTCTTCAGTCCATCATTATCGTTCAGCCTCAAGTAGCTTGCAAACTGTAAAGAAGATGGAAAGAAAGTGGGGGGGGGGGAGATATACTTTCCTGGATTCCTGGAAGGAATGGGAGTTTTCATTTCTGGTTTATTGAAAGTAATGTAATATAATAATGCAACACTTCACTGACTTTTATAAATACAGGACTGACACAGATGTAATGAACTTTTATTACTGAATCCTGTCCAGAAACTCTTGCAAGCTCATTCTCATTTTTCATGTTTTGTACCAACTGCGGATCATTCAAATCATATTCTGCAGTGCCCCAGTCAGATTATGACTTGGTAAACTATGGTCCTGTTAACTTCATAGCTCAGTTAGGTGAGAAGACTTCCAGGCAGTGTACAAAATACCCCCAATACATTTATATTCTCCACTGTTTAATGAACATATTGGTGATTTTTCACGGTAAAACTCTGTTTGCTAGTGTATATTCCACGTGCCTATATATTGCTCAAATGTTCTTCACTAAATTGACATTAACTGCAAAAACTCAATGAAGCAGTTACTGGCATACAGTCTTGGCAAAATGTCTACGAGGTTGCAAATCTTTGGAAGTGACTAAACAACCCATTTTGCTATATATTGGAGACAAAACACCGTATTGTGCAATCACCTGTAGAATATGGTATTGTTACTATTGATGTCCATGTAAAACCTACACACATAGCACAGAAAGCAAAAATCTGGTCAGAATATAATACTGGCTCCAGGTTAGCAAAGGAGTGAGATAAGAGAATAACAGAGTTGGAATAGACCACGAAGGTCTTCTAGTCCAACCTCCTGCTCAAGCAGGAGACTCTGTAACATTTTAGACAAATGGCTGTGTGGTCTCTTCTTAAATGCTTCCAGTATTGGAGCACCCACAACTTCTGAAGGCAAGCTAGTCCACGGATTAATTGTTCTTACTGTAAGGAACTTTCTCCCTAGTTCTAAGGTTGGTTCTCTAATTGATTAGTTTCCATCCATTGCTTCTTGTCCTGCCTTCAGATATTCTATTCTATTCTATTCTAGTCTAGTCTAGTCTAGTCTAGTCTAGTCTATTCTAGTCTAGTCTAGTCTAGTCTATTCTATTCTATTCTAGTCTAGTCTAGTCTAGTCTTTTGCTTTTATTCTTCCCTTGTGTATCCAACCAAATATATATTGAGAGGGGCTGCTTTGGTATAAAATCATCAAATTAGAGAAAGAAACATGCATTATCCTGATGGCCCTATTCTTATAACTGAAAATACAAAGGTTCGGGAAATTCTAGTAATGAAAGTCAAGGCGCACAATAAAAAATTGGTTCACACTTAAATAGAAGAACAGACTAATGACATCATATGCAACAACCACCCAGATACCCTGAAGTGGGAAATAGATTTGCTTTTTAGGATTGATTGACAACAATAAAGGAATGAGAAATGCATCCTATAGAATGGTAGGTTTGCAGCGAAAGCCTTAGAAAGGATATGCATTTATATCTACAAAGGTCAGAATGCAGTGATATTCTCTCCGACATTGTATGAAAGCAGAAGTTGGACTTTGAAGAAGCAGATCAAAGGAGTACTGAAGTATTGAAGCTTTTGAACTCTGGTGTTAGAGAAAGCGCCTAGGAATACCACGGATAACCAAGAAGACAAACAACTGGATCATAAAAAGAATCAATCCTGAGATTTCATTTAAGGCAAAATGACCAGGTTCAAATTATTATATTCTGGACACTTGTTTAGATCCAGTTTCCCTGATGACTCCAAAATGCTGGGAAAAGTGGAAAGAAAAAGACTGGCAGAAAAGTGGATGGATTTAATGAGAGAGGTGATGGGAGACTTGAAGAAACCAGGTGGGCAAAAGGTCATCCTGGAGAAGATCTATTTATATCATCATTAAGAGTCGATAGAGATGACCCATAATTACTGTTGTTATTGTTACTATCTTGTTTCCTTGAAAATAAGACCTCCCCGGATAATAAACCCAATTGGGCTTTTGACAGCATGCGCTAAAATAAGCCCTCCTCCAAAAATAAGCCCTCTTCTAAAACATTTAAATGCATGCCCAGCCAGTCCCCGGCATTTCCTGGCGGGGAAAGGGGAGAACATGTCCCACATGCCCCACATCAGTGGTAGGTTGCTGCCGGTTCAGCCCAGATCAGGCAAACCAGGAGTAGCGGCGTCGGGAGGCTCTGCTCACCCACCTGGACATTTCTGTGCATGCCCAAACCAGTAGTAAAGCAGGTTTTCCAAGGAAGCAGTAAATACAAGTAAAACACAAGCAGTTTCACTTTAATTTCTCAGCTAAGCCAGGCTCCTTCCTGTCTCCTTGTTGCTCACACAGCAAATTTCAGAGTCCAAAAGCCCTCATTGGCTGACTTAGTTGCTATGCCTATTCATTGGCTGACCTTGTTACCATGTGTCACCTGAATACCATGGATGCTGGTAGGCAGAGGCAGAATTTTTCTTATTATTATTTTCTTCCCCAAAAACTAAGGTGCATCTTATACTCCAGAGCGTCTTATATTCTGAAAAATACGGTACTATAAATCAGGATTGTTCAAAGGTAGCAGCTGTATTTTCCCAGGGCCCTGGAGCTACTTCCAGAAGATACTGTGATTGCTGATGATTGGGATAGGTCTAGAAAAGTGATTAGATATGTTCATAGAAGATAAAGTTTTAATGGCTGTTAGTTATTATGATTATACATTAGACCTGCAGTGTGTTTCTGAATGCTGGTTGTTGAGAAAAAAATAATGAAAGAGATACCATATTTTCGGACTGTGAGACACACCGGTGTATAAGACGCACAGGATTTCAAAGAGGTAAATAAGAAAAAAAAAGTTTTTGTCCTCCCCGGCCCCCAGGAGCACTCTGCAGGCTTCAACTGGGGGAAGGCAAAAATGCCCCGGGTTTTGCAGAAAATGGCCTGTTTTTTGCAAAAATGGAGGCATTTTCCCCTTCTCCCAGCCCTGCTGAAGCTTTTGTGAAAAATGTTTTTGTGAAAAATGGCATGTTTTTCGCCCATTTTTTGGGCAAAAATGGGATGCAGAGATGGGGCTTTGGGAGGCCAAAAATGGCTGTATTCAGTGTATAAGACGCGCCAACATTTCCACGCTCTTTTAGGGAGGAAAAAGGTGCGTCTTATACTCCAAAAATACGGTATTTGTAGGGCTGTGAAAACTGCAAGGGACTGCTTTGTTACTTTGACAAAGATTCAGATAAAGCACCTTCCAAAACTATTTCGCCAAGCAACACAGCCCCTTTGTTTCTAAGAGAAACATGAAATTGTTGTGTTGTTGCTGGTCTCCTAATTCTCTTTACCTCCTCCCCAGCTTTCTCTGGCCTTTTCCCCCATGTCCAGAACACTCTGTACCACTTTCTATTCCAGAATAATAAATTCTAGAATACAATACATTGGCTCGATAAGGGGCAAGGACATTCTGGCAAATTTTGGGAATGTCACAATGGAGACTGGAATGTTCTGGAATCAGACTGAGAGGTTGTATACATTTTGGCCTCAGCAAGCATGTAAATGAACTGAAAGGATCATTGGTACTTCAAGATGGGCTTAGATCAGAGATGGGCAACTCTGGCTTTACGGCCTATGGACTTCAATTCCCAGAACTCCTGAGTCAGCTGCCTCAGGAATTCTGGGAGTTGAAGTCCACTAGTCATAAAGTTGGCTGGCTTGGGAAATCTCAGTATTTAAGTCCACAAGTCATAAAGTTTCCATAGTTGCCCACCCCAGACTTGGATATCTCTGTGGTGGAATTTGATGCAATCATCTGAAGGAACAATGGCCATGCAAAATTCTCCCTATAATAGCGTGACCACATTTGGGCCAGTCTGGTGACTCAAAAGCTCTGCTTGCTTCAAACCCAGGTATTCCTTGACTTACGACTGTAACTAAGCTCAAAATTATGGTTACAATTCATGCTGGTCATTAAGTGTGTTACCCTATGACAGTGATGGTGAACCTTTTTCTTACGGCGTGTTAAAATTGTCTCCCCTCCCACCTGTGTATGTGCATCCCCCCACATCGCATATGCACATACGACCTCTCCCCAGGCTCTGGAGGCTTTCCTGAAGCCTGAGGGTGGCAAAAATGGCCTTCCCCGCACCCGGGAGCCTCTCTGGAAGCTAGAAATGGATTGTTCCCAAACTTCCGGTTGGGCTGTTGGGGCCATTTTTCACCCTCCCCAGGCTTCACCAAAGCCTGACTGCTGGCATGCCACCAAATATGGCTCCGCATGCCCCCTGTGGCACACATGCCACAGGTTCGCCATCATGACCCTATAAGGTTTCGCAACCTTTTTTGCGGCAGTTGTTAAGTGAATCACTGTGGATGTCAAGCAAATATAACAGTTGTTAAATGAATCTATTGTCTGTAATGTTTTTTTTTTTGCAGAAATAGGATATAAGTGCTAGTATATAGCCAAAAAAAATGTAAATTGTGGTCACGTGACTGCTGGACAGTGCAAACGATTGCAAATGCGGGTCAGCTGCCCAAAATGTGATCGTGTGAACACAGGGGAGGGTCAGAACTTTGAATCTGGATCACACATAACTCCGAGGAGGTCAATCGTAACTCCAAACAATTGCTAAGCAACTGGTTATATTTTGAGGATTACCTGGACTCAATCTGGGCAGGTGATAACACACATTTTCAAGTTGTAATGGTTATTAAGAGCATTGCTTGTTCTACAGATTTTGTAATTGCTCAGTACATTACTTATTACCTGTTGTACTGTAAATAGAAAGAGGGAAACATATAGAGGATGCAAACCAGGATTGAGCTTTCTCAATTAAAAACAACAACTCTGCAAACTACAGATCTAACACAACAATGCACTTTTAAAGATTTTAACCATGGTTGAAAATATTTTTTTTAAAAACCCAATGAACTCAAAAATATTCTAAGCTTTTCTCTTACAACTATCGGGGGGGGGGGGAATTTTAGACATTGTTCTTATCCATACTTGTTGATGGGATTGTGTAATTAATATACAATCTTGTTCCTCAAACATCGTCAACACATCTTATCCTGTTGGGGTTGTGTTGCTAAGTGCTCTAAGCATTTAATCAATATGCAGAATGTGTGTGTGCCTTCAGTTATACTTAAGATAAGGTGACCAGACGTCCCGCTTTTGGCGGGACACACCCGCGTTCCAACGCACTTTCCCGCGTC